GCGGCGGTGGGCTCACCTGGAGCGTCCTCCCCTTCATACTCATCTATCATTTCTTCTGTGATGCCTTCGGGAAGGGAAGGGGGATCGGCAATGAAATTCAAATTCAGCTTCGTCCCAGGATTATACCGCTTGAAACGGTAGATCAGATCCACCATCTCCGAGCCCACCTCCTTGTCAAGCAAAGTAGAGAAATCGGCAGAATGACGGTACTTCCGGATAGCGTCCTGGACAGCAGCCTCGATCTCCAAAGCCTTGGCCCGCTCCGACTCCTCCAAAGCCACCTCGACGACTCCCTTCGCCTCCAAAGCCTCCCTTGCCGATAGCCTCGCCGACTCCAGGGCTGCCGACAGCTCGGCGAACTTAGTCTCGTAAACCCTGACCTGCCGTTCGGCAGCCTGCAAATCCTTCGCCAGGTTCGCGTGGTCCTGGATAGCCTTGCCAGCCTCGGCAACCCTCGCCCTACCGTCCTCGTAGGCCTTCTTCACTTTCTCGGCAGCATTGATGGCTCGCTTAACGCACAGCCACATATCCATCGAGGCCTGAGGAACAACGGAAATGTCAGACGATATATAAGAAAGCGAGGGGGCAATCGGTAAGTTGACTCGGGAATACTTGGAACTTACCGATGCTTGAAGGCGGAAAGCACGACCCGCCTCCTCCCGAAGGAGCTTCTTCGGCAGCTCTTCAATCTCGGAAAGCTCCATTTACGAACCGAGGATCATGTGGTTCGCAAACTGGACCGTCTTTGACGGACAGGCCAAGGTGACGGGGTTGGCAAGCTCCTCGTCATTATCAGCGGCAAAGATGGCCCGAGGAGGCTCAGTCTGCCGACCGCGCTTCGGGGCAGGTTCGGCGTCCAGGTCGACGGTGATCGGCCGCTTGCCGGTCGCTCGGGAAGAGGTCCCCTCAGTAGGAACACTTCGGCCTGGAGACGGACCGACCACAGCCCCCTCAGCCTGCGCCGAGTCAGCGTTGAGTTCGCGGAGATAGTCAGCCAGGGTTTGGTCCTCGTAGTCGGTATCTACCGAGGGCGCCGGTACCGTGCCCTGCTGCTGGTTTTTCTTCTTCTTCCCCTTAAAGCCCATCATGAGACGCCGCTTGGAGGACTCATTCATCCTCTTAGCCTCGGCAGCTCTCCTCTCGTCCGTCACTACACAAACAAGGGTTGGTAAGACTTTACTACATCCAAAAACAACTTATAAATGGCAAAGGACACTTACTCTCGGCAGGATCGACCAGCTGGGCTTGGATCAGGTTGGCGGTGAAGAGAAATTACGGATACACCCTCTTCTCGGCAGGGACCTTGCTCCTCACCCTCTCCACTTGCTGAATCTCTGCTTGCGGGGCGATCGGCTACTTTAATTTACCTACAAGGGAAATGAAAGGAAAAGATCACTAGCAGTAAACAAGGACACCGAACTAAGGTATCGAACGGCATGTTATCCTACCGGCTATTTGGAATGTTGTGGGAATTGGAAATCGGACAGGTTGTCCCGAAGGCGACTCCCAGTCGCCCGAAAGGAGCACCCGCTAATTCCTCCATGACTTCTGAGAAGTCGGTACCCAGCTAACAAAGTGGCCACGCTCGGTAGCCTTGATACAGTTCGCCTGCACCCATCCACCGTCATCGGCACTCTTGGACTTTGTGATACTGTACAGGTGCGAGAACTGCTCGTACGATGGCCACCCTTCGCCAGCCATGCCGAAGGCCGTTATCACTCCCATGAGGGCCACCCAGAAGTTCGGGTTAAATTGCCCCGGAGCATAGCCGATCTGGGCCAAAATCCTCTGTACCGCTGGCTGCAACGGCAACCGAACGCCTTGGACAAGGACGTCGGTAAAGAAAACCACCTCGCCGTTCTTTGGCTAGCTGAGAGATTCTGTAGGGCCCGGGATCCTCATTCGAACTGAATCCGGGATGTGGTATTCCGATCGGTATTTGGCAATCTCCTTATCGGTTATCTTGTTCGGCCCAAGATAGTCGACACCGAACAAATTTTCCTTCGGCACCCCCATAGGTACCCTAGGGTTGCTTGGGTACACCACCGATACCCTCGGCGGCTGACTCTCCACGGCTGGAAGTGGAGGTCTCTGACTGGCGACTAGCGCTCGCCTCCCTAGGCATGCCAAGACCCACATGGCGGCCGTCGCTATAGACAATGGACAATGGCACCGGAGCAGTCATTAACCCCTTTTCGATGCCGTGTATTGGAATCAGGCCCTGCTGCTTCCCCATCGGAGTCAAAGAAACCTTCCGATGACTCCTCATCGAACGCATTGGGCTCACGCTCGGAGACCGACTCGCTATCAGACATCTACAAAAACAGGAAAAAAAAGGAAACTAAGGCTCCTGCCGGACGCTATCCTACCATCCCTACCCTCCTACCTATGCGACTAGACTACCAAATGGAACCCTATGGTCAGTCTAGTTCAAACCAAGGAAGGAAGTAACTCAAGATAAACAAAGGAGTAAGTCAAAGTTACCGAACGGTACCTTAGATCGAGTTCTAGATAGGAAACGTGAACTACGCTTCTCTTGCCGATCATCTAGTCGGAAATCGTTTCTCTTGCCGATCGTCTAGTCAGAAATCGCTTCTCTTGCCGATCGTCTCGCCGGAAATTTCCTTGGATGCCGGAAGCTCTCGTCGGAAATCGCCTCAAACAAAGCTCTCGTTCTTCGCAAAGTGCAAGTGATTTCGCCTCCGGGGTCATCTCTATTTATAGGGAGAGAAGTCGCAACGGCACTCCTCGAAAAACCAAACGGCGCATTAATGCGCGCGCGCCATCATTACTCTTGCCACGTGTCGCTCATCCTATGGGGAACTGACGGCACGCGAGGTGCGGAAGTCGAAGCGCTCAGATGTCCCTTCACCCGTCCACTCGACGCGACCTTCTGACTTCACCAACGTCAACCTCTGAACGAATAAGAACGGAAGGGCCAAAGTTGAGCCCCTTCATCAACTGGGTTACCGAACGGTGGGGCAACGTTCCCTTCCGAGGACAACTTCAAATCCCCTTCTGAGAATTCTCGCAAGAGGACTTGGGGGACTCCTGTTCACACCAAAATGAACAGCCAATAAACATCGGACACGTGGACCAAGCTGGAGCTATGGGAGCCTTTGGCATCTAGCTTCGGCATCATATCTACCGATCGCTCTACTAGGGCAACCTTACCTCCTGGGACACGTGGCAGTCCCACAATCGATGTCCACAATCCCACATTGAAACTCTAAGAAAAATGTACACCTCCCAAGGCCTATAAAAGATGACAACTATCCCAGCTTGGAGGTAAGAAATCAGAACTCACGGCATACTGCCCATTGATCTGTAGTTCAAACTTACTAAATCCGTACTTACTTAAGCATCGGAGAGCCTTCGGCCGGTACCACACCGGTGCCCTACGGCTTACCGAGCGTTTGCTATCTTACAGGTATAACACCCTTCTGAAGCTATAGCATACCGAAGGAAAAACATATCACTAAGTTGCGCGGGAAAAGTACAGAACCATTTTTCTGCGTCAACAAAGTGGAACCAATGTTGGTGGCGGCACCTTTTGGGGTTTGCAACAAGCCAATTTTGGCTTTTTGGGTGGTGTGGGTCTAATATATGACTTTTGTAAATTTCAACAAGCTGGTAAGTTGATTTGTAGTATACAATTTGTTATTTGTAAGTTGTATGAGCAGTTGTTAACTTTCAGTAAGTATTATGAACAGCTGTTTTTCTTTTCATACCATGTAACTGAGTTGATTTATATAACATAATATTAACAATGTACTTCTATGACATAGTATTAATAGATTTTCAGTAACAAAGCACGCTCTATATTTTGCTCTATATATGGTTATGCACTTGAAGTTTATGATATGCAAAATGTGATTTTTACTAGGAAAATAGTTATATGACATAGTATTAACAATATACTTCTGTGACATAGTATTAACAGTGTACTTTTTTTTTTCTTGTAAAGGTATTTCATTTTGCCTTTGTGATTGTATCTGGTGAAACTATGGACAATTGGAGGTGGCAACAAAGGATATCGAATCTCTTGTTAGGGTTTTCTGGATTTTTTGTATGAAATGCTATTTACAATGTTTTTCTATGAAATTGTATTAAGAATGTTTTTCTATGAAATTGTATTAACAATATACTTCTATAGCATGATATTAACAATATACTTTTATAGCATAGTATTAACAATGCACTTTTATGACATGGTATTAACAATGTGCTTTTATGACATGGTATTAACAATGTACTTTTATGACATGGTATTAACAATGTACTTCTATGATGTTTGATGGAGAATGAAGGGTCGTGGGGACAGGTTTTCATGTTTTTTTTTATCTTTTTTATTTTAAGTTTGGGTTTTTTCATAAAAAAATCTAATATGGGCTGACTGGGCTTGTTTTGGGTTATTTTGGGAATTTTGTGTTGGGCTTGTTTTAAGTTAATAAATGGCAGAGATGTAATTTATATGAACTTCAATACTAATTTCATATGTAGTAAATGATTTTTGGGTGTGTTTCTAAAGTGCATTCTATGTAGGGTTTTTTTTTTATAATTACAGTCTTTATTTTGGATATATTACTAAAGCTCACTTTTTTTTTTCCTTTTTTTTTATAGTTTTAGATGAACTGAAAGATGGTATTATATGCATGTATATGCGTATATGGTGGCATAACCGTTTGATCCCTTATATGTTTTTTATGTAAGGGTCGGATTTTTTGGTTTTAAAGTATTATTTTTGTTTTTAATAGTTAAATTAAGTTTTTTAAAAGATAATTTTTAATTTTTAATTTTTTGCTTCATACGTGGCACTTAGTTTAGCAAAATAGTGGGTCCTATTAATGCCACATCATCATTTTTAACAGATTGACTGTAATGGGCAAAGTGAGACACAAAACATCGATCAAATGGGCAAAGTGAGTCACTTTAACTTTAAAGGAGATAAGTGAGAATTGACCAATATTTCAAGGGGCACTGTAGCAATTAAGCCTAGATATAATTCCAATTGCAGAAGACCAAATTTCGAGAGTCTCTAACATCTCTGAAATCTAGTACACTTTCTTACCAAAAGTATCTCGATATCTAATATTCTGGATAAATAGCCATTAAATTAATCTTCTTCCAAAATTCTTGACAAGAAGAACAACCATTCTTGAAATGGTGGAACCTGTTAGTATCCCTGACGATGATTTCCTTCCCTGTACAAGATGATGCAATCTTCATAAAAGAATGGCAATCACCACAAATCCTAAGATTCTTCATGATCCTGATAGATGCATTTGAAGGTGAGCACATCAACCCCAGAGTAAGAGCAAGTTTCTCACTGTGGTGCCTCAAAGGTTCATGTTTTCTGTTCTCTCCCATATAATGAAGGTCATGTTCAGTCTCAGCCGTGTAGCCCATAATCTTCAACTCTTCGATCAAACAGTCCAATTTTGAGTATATCCCAGCAATTCTAACATGCGAAACTCTCCAACCATAAATGAGTGAACTTTGTCCTTGATTTCAATCCAACTCTTCCCTCTCTCCTTCTTCAACTCACTTTCTTTAAGAAGTTTCCTTGTTCTCGCAACTTCATCCCATTTCTTATTTGCTGCATAAATGTTTGACAGCAGAAATATGGTTTCCGGCATTATTAGGTTCTATCTCAGACAAATGCTTAGCTGCTACCTCAGCCAAGTGAAGTTTTCCATGGATCCGACAAGAAGCCAACAGTGAATCCCACATGGAAGCAGTAGCATCAAATGGAATTTCCTCTATCAAATTATAGACTTCAAACAACAATCCTGACCAACCAAAAAGATCAACCATGCATGTATAGTGAACAGTAGGTGACGCATTGTGTTCTGTTATCATGAGGTTGAAGTATTTCCTTCCACTTTCAATCAATCCCATATGACTACAAGCAGTTAATACAGAAACATATGTTACTTCACTTGGGAACCTACCCATCTGCTGCATTTTCTCAAATAAGATCATCACCTCTAGGGAGCAAGCATGTCTAGCAAACCCAGAAATCATGGTATTCCATAACACAATGTTTGTCTCATCCATACCTCAAAACACATAGTAAGCTTCTTTAATGCTACCACATTTTGCATACATGTCTATAAGAGAGGAAACAATAAATATATTCAAACCAAATCCAGTTTTACATAACATGGCATGCACCTGCTTCCCTTCAATAAAAGCTGCCAGACCTGCACAAGCACAAATAGCAGAAGAAATTGTAAACTGGTTTTGCTATAACCCCATCATTTTAGCTCTAAGGAAGAACATCAAAGCCTCCTCATAAAGCCCATTTTGCACATACCCGGCTACCATCGAACTCCAAGTAACCTCACTCCTCTCTGGCAGAGACACTAACACACAGCTTGCATCCTATATCAAACCAAACTTTGCATAAACGTCAAGCAATGCAATTCCCACATAGACATTTAAATTCATTGCTAACTCGACAGCAAGAGCGTGCAGTTGTTTATACTAAAAAACAGCACATTTCATTGCACAACCACAAAGAACACTCGAAACAGTGAATTCATTAAAATGGTTTCCTTCTCTTCGCATCTACAAGAAAAGACCAAGAGCTTTCTGTTCCTCCCCATTCTGGGTAAGTGACCCAATCATCGTGTTTCATGAAACTAAGCTTCTTTCAGGCATTTCATCAAAAACTTTGCCAGCACAATCAACTAAACCGCATTTAGAATACATGTTGATGAGTATGTTAGATGTTAAAGTGCCTGCTTGCAATCCAACACGTATGATCTGTCCATGGCAGGCCTTACCTTCCATGGGTGCACCTGTTCTTGCACAGCTTTGCAAGATATGATGCAGAAGTGGAGTATAAGTGTCCCTTGTCTCCACCAAAACAAGGCATTCTTGGTGTCTAGGTCTGTCAGCTCTAGCGCCCTTGGCGATGGCTGAGAACTTTCTGTGATAGTTTTGAGCGGTGTTATAGATTCCCTCCTTGTTTCTTCTCAAGGTTTTCATATTAGCGCTTGCATTGCAATCTGCAACATGGTAAAAGCTTTAGAAATATGGAAATAATCGTATTCTATAGCAGAGGCTCAAACAAGGACCGCAAAGGCCCAACCCAAGCGTAGCTTGGGCTCGATGGCTTGTTTTCTTTTTTCAAGAATGTACGGGCTCAATTGTCAAGAACATTCTAATTAATTTCGAGAATAATTAAATTAAATTATTTATATTATATTAAATTACTTTAAGATTTAAATTTAAATAATTAGTTTACCAAACTTTATTATGTTTCTTTGACTGATTCAAGTAACATTTTTGCAGCATTTATCTTTCTGCATTGAGGTCACTATGTTTTACACTATGTTCTGCTTAATTGGGGAGATTTTTTAATTTGTATTTCCTACACTCAATTGATGTTGTTGAACTTCTGAAACCTTTCATTTCTATTTGAACCTATTTGGGTCTGGTCGAGTACTTAGATTAGTTAGGGTTGAGTTTGTTATGCTCCTGTGTTTGTTAAACATAAATATGATGTTACTATGTAAATATGTTAAGTAAATTCTTTGTTTTAGTTTTCCACTGCTAATTAAAAAATCTAATCCACCTCGGTTCCTTAACAACAAAAAGGACTTATCATATCTTAAAAATGCTTGAAAATACTAGTAAAAAAATGATCAACTGGCATGGATATTGGTGTCCACAAAGGAGTTTGTATTGAGAGTTTTGGTGTCCAATTTAGTGTCTAATATACTCTAGGCACCAAAAGTGCCAATACAAACCTTTTTTCGTGACCCCTTTTGTGTACACTAATGACCAATATCTATTGATCCTAAATACGATATTTTGATTGTTTTGTGTCATATTATCAGGATTCTCGAGGCATGTGTTAATGTCACATAATTGAATTCTGGATTGGGACAGAAAAAATGTCCTCAAATTTGAAGAGGCCGAATTCAGTTTAGTAAAAAGTACATCTCCATGCACTTTTTGGGAATGGAACAAATATATATTTTCGTATAGTTTTAGATTAAAATTGAAACGAAAAGGAAACAAAACATTAATGTAGATTGATATAAGGTTTTAATTAGTTGGATATACTATTGGATATAATGGTTCCGGTGATGAGAGGGGATTCTTAAATATTACGCTTGAAACTCAAATTTGAAATCCCAAGTTTCGAGTGGCCCCACTGCAGAAAATAATATAAATGCAGAGACACCATGTTTATTCCAATAGTCTCAAAACTGGTTTTTTAGATCCCCACCAAAGATGCTCTTATATACTGGAAACTTGGCACAACTAAGTCCAACAATCATGCATGCGACTCTGAGTTTTGACTTACAAATAAGTGGTTTCAAATTCGAATACCCATGACACTTTAATTGTATTTAAAAATCCAAATTTGCGTGAGAAACCCTCCTCCTTGTAACTATCAATTGTATTTAAAAATCCAAAAAACGTGGACTTGATGAATTCTCTTGACACTGAATGCCATAGATTGTAACAGGATCGACATATATTGTCATATCGATGTGGCTCCGAGCAAAATGGGAGGCACAGAAGAATCTGGAAATCACTAGCTCACAAGCCCAGTGGACCACACGGCCTTCCCTTTGTGTTTGAATGTGACTTGCCTTATCATGAATTTTGGAGCCCCACTTACTCCAATTGGTTTGATATGTTTTTTGTCTTTGAAAGCCTCCCTTTCGATATAAATATGATAAGTCGGCCATATCTTAACTAAATGAAAGCTGGAACAATAAAGTGTGTACGTGCCAAATAATAATATACCATCCTCAACTTAAATGCATTACCAAAAAAAAAAAAAAAGTAAATTTAAGTTTTAGCTACAAAAAAACTTTCACTTTTGGAAAAAGTCAAAATTTTTCCAAAAAAAACAGAAAAACCCTCAACTTTTAAACCAAATACATGCAAATGTAGAGGATTCCTTAAGAAATCCAAAAATAATATAAGGGCATTTTTTTCCATTTTGCTTCTTTTAAAAATATTTCTCTCCTTGGCCTTTTCCAAAATGTCCCCAAAAAAAAGTTGTCATTTGCAATGAATTTTTTCGAAGGAACTGCAAATATCCTTTAAAAAAAACACTATTTCCAACAACAAAGTACAATATGTCAGAAATATATCAAAGAGGTGTTTACAAATTTCAACACCCAAATTACCCTTGGAAAAGAGTTTCTTCGTTGTCAGAAATAGTTTTTTTTTTTTTAGGAAAAATTGGCGCCACATTTATTTACGACCAAACTGATCCTTGTCAGTACTAGTTGTGCTTTGCTCCGACGGCATGTTCACGTTGTCGGAAAATCATAGCCATTTCCGAGAGATTAGAAGTCGTCATAAATGATTATCTATTTATGAGGGCAATCAGTAGCTCTCGTAAAAGGATGTCTATTTGTGAGGGGGTCTAGTGATTGTCGCAAAAGATTATCTATTATCCAATTTATACTTTTCCACCATTGAAATGTCTTTTTTTCTTAATAATGATAATATTATTATCATCATCATCATCGAATGTTATACGTATTTACTTCCTTTGTATTAACAATAAAAAGGGCTTTCAAACTTTGACAAATTTTCACCATTTGAAAAGATTAATACTACTAAAAATTGATTTATTGGTGTAATGTGTGTTTACTTTATATTCATTTTTATATACTAATTACTAAAGTTAAACCTAAATGAGATTTAAAGTCTCATTTCAAGAAACTATAATATGCACATGTTATTTTTTTATAAATGTTGACGACCATATATGAGAAAGCTTAGAAATGTAGTGTTGTACAAATAAATTTCGGGGAGAATATTTGCAGAAGATCCTCTTCTCTCTCGATAGTCATCTTCCTCGAACCTTGTAAAATGAATGGCGGTCAATGGAGAACACCTAGGGAGTGTTGGTTAAAGCCATCTGATGCCCAAGTCACTAAAATGTTCTCAGAGAGATTTAGATTTAACTGAAAGGATGAAGCTTTCTTTTACGTGAGAGGAGGAGGCGCGGAGGTGAGAGTGGGATGACGACGCAGGGCCATGAGAGAGGCTTGAATTTTTGGTATTTTTGCTAGGTTTTCATAATTACCTCATGTGTGGTGTGATGATATCTTTATATAGAGTCTCCATCTTTGGTAGGGTTTGTGGAGATGGGAATTATTATTTTCCATAAATAGAATGAGAGGATAATATCAATGAGAATTGGTAGAAATCGAATACTTGATTTAGAGAGATGTTCATATCTTAAATGAGGATAATTGGCTAATTAAATAGGATTTAAGTAGCACAATTATTTTACCTAAAGAATATTTGTAATAACACGATCCTAAATTAATATTTAATTATTAAAGTATTCAATTAAAAGACAATTTTACTCCTAGGAATATTTTAATGGGTTAAAAAGTTAACTTTTTGTTCAGGAAAGAATTTAGGAATTTTATTAGTACCGTTGTGTAGAGCTCATCGATATGAGCTCGTAGACATGTGGAACGCTCAATTCCGAGTTGTAACGAAGGAGAAAAGGTCTAGAAACAAAAATGGCGTAATGGAAATTTTTTAATTTGTTACTGTAGCAAACAATACCGCTACAGTACTGGGCTGTTTTAAAATAATTTCTTCTTTTTCTTTCTTCCCTCTCTCTCCCTTCGCAAGCAGTAGCCCCACTTCTGTTATTGTTCATCTGAATAGTTTTTGGGCCGCCATCTCCTCTAACGGCCAACCCAAGCGACAGCACTGGTACCAAAATAACCAGCACATCATCCTCTTCCTACCCCACCCCTCCGCAGCCACCATTGCCGCTGTATTTCGCCGGAAAATACGAAAATATCGTTGGTTTTACCTATAACTTCCAAGCGTTCGTTCGATCTATTTCGGCCACCCTTTTTGTTGATCTGGGTATGCTTTTCATCCTCTCAATGCGTTATGGCTAATGGTTGGGTTATTTAGGATCAATTTTTGCTTTTTGAAACTCAAATTGTCGCTTAAAGTTTCAGCCACTTTTCAATTCTCGATTATGATCATCTCTGGCCACTTTTTGGCCATGGCCCAAAACAAAAGTTGCTCCACTTAATGTCCTAATCATGTAGTAGGTATAGGTCTTGACTAGCGGTTTGGAGATTTTTTGATATCCGGAATCGCTTTGACGCACCCACATGGTGTTGGTGCGTGGTCCACTTTGTGACTAGTCTTTATGTTCTAAAATAATCCTCATGTTATCCCGAGCACGAAGGTATGCTCGGATTTGAATTTGGTTATCGTTTGACTGTCGATCGAATATCGCATATTAGGCGTTATCCAGATCGACTTCATTTCAATATATGTGGATCTAAGAATCTCTAGGATCGTGTAGGAATTCGCGGATCTTGAATCGGAGTCCTGGATACTCCAATTCAATGACTTGAAGTGTGTGTTAAACGATAACCGTCCTATCATGCGATTGCGAGCGATCTGACCGTTCGATACGGACCAAGCTCGTAAAACTTGTATATTAAGCCTTGTTGAACCCGTAGGAACTTTCGGATCATACATCGAGGTCGTAGGCCCCACGGGTCCGGCTGATTAAGTTTGGGAAGCTTGACCCATCGGATGACCGAGACTATTCCAAGATAGTTTCATCCTTCGAGAAATGCAAGAACGACCCTATAAACGAGGCTTGACTGTTATGTGAATTATTTTGTTTATGGTTTCATTTTGAGATTAAATTATAGTATTTTATGGTATTCCTGGTTGTTATTTTTGATATTCGAAGATTATGCATTATTGGAAGTGATGGGATCTCTAGGAATTAATATTTATTTATCATTCCTTTATTTATTAATTAATTATTATTATGATTATTATTAAAGTATCTGGCTGAGTGTTATTGGATGATTTAATGTTTATGATGTAATCGTTTTTACTTTCTAAGGACATTATATGTGTTTAGTTGTGAAAAGTTGGGAATGGTTTGTTAATCGGATTTCGATATGAATAATAAATTAATTAAATATCTAAGTACGTGTCTATATTTAATA